AGCCTCTTTTCTGCTACAGATCTGTTGAGATTTTCTATTTCTTCAAGTCAATTTTACTAGTTTGTGTCCTTCTAGGAATTTGTCCTTGTCATCCAAGTTGTTTAATTTTTTAGCATACAAATGTTCATAATATTCTCTAATAATTCATTTTCTTTTTTATAAGGTCAGTTGTGATGTTTTCTCCTTCACTCTTATTTTTAGTAATTTGAGTCTTCTGTTTTTCTTGGTTCATCTAGGTAAAAGTTTGCTAATACTGTTAATGATTTCAAAGAAGCCGGGGATGTTGGTATGCCGATGTCTTGGGGGGCACCAGAATCAGGAGGCACCACAGCTTTGTAGGTTCAAGCAGCAATTCTTTATTCCCGATCTCACACCAGCCTCCACACACGTTCAGGGGCAATTCCAATATGTCCGATCCCAAATCCTACTCCGCGAGGCTTTTTTCCAAATCCCATTTTAATCTCACGAGAACTCAACAAGCCGCAGGAACACCCTAATCCCAGCAGCAATAATCTTCAACCTCAACTTCCCTAAAACCCATATTCTTAAACCGGGAAACGCCTTAAACCCAAGGACCGGGATACTTCCTCAAACCTGCAGGATACTTCCTCAAACCTGGATCCACCCTCGATCACCTTGAGCAGGGTCATCTTACTAAAGCACACAAGCAAGATCTCAGCAAATTTCCAAGGCAAGTCCATTTAACATGGGGTACACTGGCAAGGATTACGATGCGTCATACCTACTTGGTAATGGCCCTCAGCATTGGTATGTACCTGTAATCCCAGTAACTGAGGAGGCTGAGGCAGAAGGATCACAAGTTTGAGGCCCTAAGCAATTCAGTGAGATCTTGTGTCAAAAAAAAAAAAAAAAAAAATCTGGGGGATGTAGCTTGGTGTAGCATCCCTGGGTTCAATTCTCCATACCAAACAACAAACAAAAAAACAAGGGATACTGAAACAAAAAAAAAAAAAGGGATACTGATACATCTGGGCATCATAGCTTCTACCTGTAGTTCCAGCTATTCCAGAGGTGAGGCAGGAGAATGGCTTAAGCCTAGAAGTTTGAGGCCAGCCTGGGCAATGTAGTGAGAACCCTGTTAGAAAACAAATAAATTAAAAAGAAAGGTGGCACACACCTGTAATCCCAGCAATTTGGGAAGCTGAGGCAAGAGGATCACAAACTTGAGGCCAGCCTCAGTCATTTAGTGAGGCCCCCAGCAACTTGGCAAGACCCTGTCTCAAAATAAAAAGTAAAAGGACAGGAGATGTAGCTCAGTGGTACAGCGCCCTGGGTTCCGTCCCCAGTACCAAGAGAAAGAGAGAGAGAAGGAAGAGAGGGAGGGAAGCAAGGAAGAAAGAAAGAAATCAACTACAGATTAAATATATATAACCTGAAAACCTCCAAAATCCAAAACTCTTTGAGAACTAACAGGATGTCACAATTGAGAATGTCCCCTCCTAACCTCATGTTCATATTTCATATACGCCTTCAATACATAGCCCKAAGGTAACCATCAGTCATAATGCAGGTACGCTAAAAATATTGTACAAGATTACCTTTAGGCAGCTGGGTGAGGTGGTGCATGCCTGTGATCCCAGTGGCTTGGGARGCTGAGGCAGGAGGATCATGAGTCCAAAGCCAGCCTCAGCAAAAGCGAGACACTAAGTAACTCTTTGAGACCCTGTCTCTAAATAAAATACAAAAAAAAAAAAGCTGGGGATGTGGCTCAGTGGTAGACTGCCCCTGAGCTCAATACCCGATACCGCCCTCCCGCAAAAAAATAAGATTAACTTTGGGCTATGTGTAGAGAGTACTGAACCCAATATATAAAGACTTGGATATCACAACTGTCAATTTGGTTATGATAACCTAAACAGCTACTAAGTGACTAACATAGGGAAAGCCTATATTGGACTACCCTATGCTGGACAAAGGGATGATTCACATCCAGGTCAGGACAAGGAAGGACAGCACAAGATTTCATCACACACCTCAAAGTGGCATGCAAATTTAAAACTTATGCATTGTGTATTTCTGTAATTTTCATTTAATACTTTCAGAACAGGTGATCATGCTTATTGAAACCTTACACAGCAAAATCAAGGATTAGGGCGACTACCATAATAGGTGAAAGCATGCAGCACAGAGCTTCTCATATGGTGAAGTCTCAGCTTCTCATATGGTGAAGAGTAGCTTATAACTACAAAGCAAGAGACACTTGATAATCTGCTCCGAGGTATATACCAGTTATGTGGTGGAGCTCTAATGGGAATTTGAGATGGTGTGATTTCAAAATTCCACTCCTTCCATTATACCATACTAGCAGAATATTTTAAGTCTCTCTCTATATATTATTTTTTGCTCTTCACCAATGAGCTCCATTCCCTAAATTCTTTTTCTTTTTTCTTTTTTTTTTTTTTTTTTTT